CAGGCCTCTTGTATGTCCTTGAACCCCTGAGAAGAGGGGAAGAAGGGGAAGCTGGCCTTAGTTTTTTTCTCCATCCGTCAGGTGGAGCCCCATGAGCCTTCCCTTACCCTCTGAGGTTAGTCCAAGTGCCCTTATCTGAGCAGAGCGGTGGGATTAGGGGTCTCCAGATCTGCACGTCTGGGTCCTCTGGATGAGGCATGATAGGGACAGCTTTGTATTTCATCCAGGTGGCAGGAACTGAGACCACTTAGACGTCTAGCCCAAGTCCTGCCCTGGTTTTGATACCCCCAAGGAGCCCTCAGAGCCATTCCCATTCCTGGGACAGTGACCCGCCCTGCTGGGAGTGGCTATGGGAGGTTGTTCTGGGGACCCAGCAAAGGACTGGCTGCTGAGCTGAAGGCCACCTTGCTTTCCTGAGCCTCAGCACAGCTCACATCCGATCAGGAGGTCCACAGTCAGCCAGCGGAAGCGACCCCTTAGCACAGGCCTGAGTAAGCAGTAGGTGCTCAATCTGTGCACAACTGACCAAGTGTTTACTGGAAATTCAAATCTGATTTTTCTCAGTGTGATCCAAACTTTGGGTTCCCACCCTGTTCCTCAGTCCCGTCGCTGGGAAAAAATGGCTTTGGGGAGAGATCAGTGCCTTTTTTATTTGTTTGTTTGTTTTTTGAGACGGAGTCTCGCTCTGTCACCCAGGCTGGAGTGCAATGGCACAATCTCAGCTCACTGCAACCTTCACCTCCCGGGTTCAAGCAATTGTTCTGCCTCAGCCTCCTGAGTAGCTCGGATTATAGGCACGTACCACCACACCTGGCTAATTTTTGTATTTTTGGTACAGACAGGGTTTCACCATGTTGGTCAGCCTGATCTCAAACTCCTGACCTTGTGATCCACCTGCCTTGGCCTCCCAAAGTGCTGGGATTACAGGCGTGAGCCACGGCACCCGGCCGACATCGGTGCCTTTAGGGTCACCTTCAGCTCTGATGCAGTCAGGCTCTAGGATTCTCTTCAGCACCTCCCAGGGTAGATGAGCCACCCTGAGTGGCACTTCATCCTCCCAGCACACTGGTGGTCAGTATGACCATATTCTACCAAGGAGGCTCAGAGAAGGGAGGGGCTTATCTCAGACAGTGACTGGGGGCAAAGGTAGAGTAAGAACCTGGGCTTCGAATTCCCAGTGCACCATTCTTTCCCCATGCCATCCTCCCCTGCCACCTGCCATGCTGCCTCAGCTTCTCCAAACCAAAGCCCACTTCCTCCAAGTTGCCCTCCTGGAATGCTGCCTCCACCCCTGGAGCTGACCTCCCCAGGACAGTGAGGAGCCACATCTCCTACTCTGGTGCTGCTAACAGCTGTGAGGCCAGTTTGGTGGTGAAGAGGGTCTGGGGAGCATCTGGCACAGGCCCCCGGGTTCTCAGGGGCTTCACATCTATCTCCACTGCCCACGTCCATCACTCCTTACGTGCTCTGCACCTGCCATGTGGGAGGGGCAGTCACTGCGAAATGGGGGAGCGTGGGAGGATCTGGTGACACAGAGTAGGTACTTGATAAATGTGTGTGGAGAAAAGGTGAAGAGGGAAGGAGGGAGGGAGAGGGCGGCTGAGTAAGTTGGTGTCTTAGTGGATTGCCACATGGAGCGTTGGAAATAGATGCTCGGTGCTGGAAAGATGGGTAGACGGACACGTTGGTGAGTGAGCTGTTGAATGAGGGAAGGAAGGCTGGATGAAGGAGCGAGTGCCTGGGAGGAGGAATGTTCACCCTGTGGCTCTGAGTGTTACAGCTAAAGGAGGAGCTGAGAGCTCTCTAATCCCTGCCCTACCCATTTGACAACTGAGAAGACCGAGAGAGGGCTGGGCAGAAAGAAAACTGCGGTTCTGTGGGCTGGCAGCCTCTGGTTCTCCCCTACCCCCCTTCCTCTACCCCCATCCCCCGCTTTCCCCTGCTGGGGTTGGGGAATGTTCCGGGAAGGACGCCCTTTTTCCACCTCCTTGCTCCTTTAAACCCAGTTTCCGCCAGGCACTAGGCGTGGTGTTGGGGATGGGAGGGAGCCGGTGACCCCCACAGGGGCTCTTTTAGTCAGAGACAGCCCTGCCAGGAAACAGAGGAAGCTGCTCACCCTGTCAGAGGAGTTGCAGTGTGGCCAAGGCAGGAGAGTGGGGACCTCAGCTCTGGCTTCCCTTTCCCCAACACACTTGGGACCACCAGCGTGCTGCAGGGACAGGAGGCTGCCTGTGAGTGTGGGTGCGTCTTGGGGCCATGGGTCAGTGCAGGGGTTGGGGGTCGGGGGTGGCTGCACACAGGGAACTGTGACTGAGGGCGGGCTGGGGTCAGCGCTGACCTAAAGGAGGCCCACAGAGTTGGGGGGCCCCAGAGGAAGGGAGAAAAGGCCCAGAAAGGAAGAAGCAAGGTGAGCTCTGAAGCTAGATAGACACAGGATTTTGATGAATGCAGATGAGTTGAATGGCACTTTGTGTGAAGGGAACAGTGGAGCTGGAGGCTGGAGAGGGAGTCCGGCTCTCTGGCTGCCACTGGCTGTGTGGCCGTCTCCATGTCTTGGGGATGTGATGAGAGGGGAAGGGGCAAGGGTGGAGGGAGGAGCAGAGTGGCCCTGACATACTTCGGACAGGGCTGGAGGGCTTGGCGGGGCCTTGAATGTCAGGAAAAGGGTTTGGGCTTTTCCCCAGAGGGCAGAGGGATGCGAAGAAGGGTGTAGTCAGAGCCAGTTGTTGGCAAGCCCCCCCACCACGGGGAGAGTCCAGCCCAGGAAGAGGCTGGGGTCTGTTCCGATCCCGGACTTAGGACCCAAGAGCTGGTGAGTGATGTGAGAGCTAAGATCAGCTGCTGCCTGGAGGTGAGAACCAAGCAAATCCCCCTCGAGGCCAGCCCCCGGCCCGGAACTGGGAGGACAGCTCAGCTCTTCTAGGCCCTCAAAAGCAGACCAGGGAGCTGGGGCGACAGCCAGGCCAGTCTTTCCTGACACAGCCCTGAAGGTTTGCCCAGAAAGCTGTGCCCCGGATCCCCTCCTGCAGCCCCCTGCCTCCCTCCAAGAGGGAAGGGAGGTGGTCCCAGGAGGATCAGTCTCGCCGGCTCGTGAGAGAGGCAGACTGCAGTCCCCAGGCATCTAAGACAGAGGATTGTCCCTGGGGGTGGGATCTGAGGGTGAGGGCCACCCAAAGGAAGGTTGAAGGACACAGCACCCCTCTAACACCTCTTCTCCTCAAAACCCTCTTCCCTTGCAGACTGGTCTCCTCCGACTCTGTGAGGAGAGACGCAGGGAGGCCAGAGGCTGCCTCTTGAAGGTCAGCCCCACGGAACCAGCAATTTTCTTTCTCCTCAGATTTCTTTGTCAGACCCTGTGTGAGAGCACACCAGTCTGCAAGGACAGAGGGTCATGGTGAGGAGGAGAACATGGTAGAAGGGCGCTGTGTCCCTCAGCCTTCCTCCTCACCCGGGCTGTCCTTACACCCTTCTCCACCCATGGAAATCCTCCTGAACACCTGGACCTTGCTCTGTCTTTCATTCTGCTCTGAAAAGTCTCTTCCATCCAGTGGCTCACACTGGTCTCCTCCATCAGACTAGCATATCTGTATCTGTATTCCTGTATCTCCATGTGCACCTTTACACTACACCTTCATGTATCTAGCTGGCAGGGTGGACTCAGTGAATGCCTGCCATGTGAAAACAAAAGAATGAACACGGGAATGAGAATGGCCTGAACCAATGAATGAAGAGATGAGTGGACGTTCTCTGCTTGTGTTAATCCTGGCTTCCTGGCTCTGCTATGGGGGAGCTGGTGTGTTTCTTCCTCTGACCTCCCCGTGGTACCTACCTTGTCCTAGCTGGGCACCCAGCACTCCTAGCATATGGGCTAAAGCCCCACAAAGAATCTTTGATAACTGAAGGTGGCATGGAGTATGGGATGCAGACTACAGAATTCAACATTATCATTTTGCACAGAATTGGGGTAAACTAGCTTCACCAAAATGAAACTGTAATTTGGGAGGCATGTATTTTTCTCTGATATAACTTTTAAAAATCCCATAACCTTACTTAGTAGGTATATTAAGAACAGCAAACACTTGGCCCTATGCCAGGCACTGATCTTCACAACAATCTTATAAGGCAGGTACTATCTCATCTCATTTTACAGGTGGGGAATCTGGTGGACTGAGGTTAACTAGTGTGCTCAAACCACATAGCTCATCCATGGCATAGCTGGGACTTGAACCTGAGCATCTGGATCAGAATCCATATACTTTGCCTGAACTCTTTACCACCTACTGAGTGCATCTGCAGGACTTCATATTTTTTCTGGGCCTCAGTTTTTCCCATCTGTAAAATGGGAAAAGAGGAGGATTAGACTCACTATCTCAAAGGCCCATTGGATTTAAGTTGCAAATTTTCTCTAGACACCAGTAATATGACAATGTCAGTTTAGAGGTGAATGTCTAGGAGTCAGACTTACCCCAGCAGGGAACCCCTTAGGGTATTTGTGCCACTGGCTCTCCCAAAACCCAGACTGAAAGAATGAGAGGAGGGACAAGATGTAGAATGCAATGGCATGGCATTTATTGAGCACTACCGAATGTCATCACTGCACATGTCACTGATGAGGACACTGTGATATGCCCCACCTCACACAGCACGGAAGTCGGGGAGCAACATTTCAACCCAGGCCTGCCTAGCTCTGAAGTTGGCCAGGTAACCTACACGTCCCATGTCTGTGGGCTACACTAAGCTGCCTCTTCTGGACTGGGGAGCTGGGCTCTGGTTCTGACTCTGCTCTGACTCACGAAGAAAGAAGGAGCAGTCCCTGCCACTCACTGTGTCCAGATAAACAAATGACACGGTCCCTCACCCATCCGCCTTCAGAGACACTGTTTTCATTCTGGGCGCCAGGGGGCGCTGTGGTGTTAGAGGCTCTGCTAAACCCACCTTTGTAGCCTCAAGTGGAAAGATGCAGTGGGGAACTGGGAATCACCTCCTTCCCTATTTTACAGATAACAAGACGTCTGCCAGAAGGACCATGGCTTTGGAAGGTGGAGTTCAGGCTGAGGAGATGGGTGCTGTCCTCAGTGAGCTCCTGGTGTGTGGACCCTTCATATTGGTTAACTAAGAGTTATCAGGGCCCTTTCTGCCCCAGACCCTGGGCTAAGACACAGAGAGACACGGGACCTGGCCCCTCTCCTCAAGCGAGTCCTGGTCTGTGAGAAGCACACAGATCCACCGTGACCAGTCTCCACACCTCAGGGAGCCCGGGGCAGCCCTGCACAGCATGATTTAGCGCTTATAACCTCATGACATTCCTGAGAGGCAGGCACCACATTCCCCCGTTTCTCCGATGAAATGAAATCACCACCTCAAGGTCACATAGCAAATGCATAGCAGAGTTGGGATTCAAACCCAAGTCCATCAATCTCCACTAACAGAGAAAGACATATGGCCAGGGCTTTGAAGGATGAATAGAAGTTCACTAGGAAGGCTGAAGGAAAATGAGTACTATAGAAACGCAGTGAATCAGATTTCTCCCAAGCATGAGCTTTATTGTATCTCAAGTTTTCTCTAAGTGAGGTCTGTGTGGGGCTTCCACGGGGTGGTTAGAGTAGCAGAGTTGACAGAGTTGGTGCCCTCACTGTTCAGACAGGGAAATCAAGGCTCGAGTAGGGGCAGGGCCTGCTGGGTGGTGAGTGAGTACGTCACTGACAGGCTGTGTATTGCTTTCCTAGCCTCTCTGAACGTAGGAAATCCAGCTGGGCAGCCATGGAGCGGGACAATGGCACAGGCCAGGCTCTGGGCTTGCCACCCACCACCTGTGTCTTCCGTGAGAACTTCAAGCAACTGCTGCTGCCACCTGTGTATTCGGCCGTGCTGGCGGCTGGCCTGCCACTGAACCTCTGCGTCATTGCCCAGATCTGCATGTCCCGCCGGGCCCTGACCCGCACGGCCGTGTACACCTTAAACCTCGCCCTGGCCGACCTACTGTATGCCTGCTCCCTGCCCCTGCTCATCTACAACTACGCCCAAGGTGACCACTGGCCCTTTGGCGACTTCGCCTGCCGCCTGGTCCGCTTCCTCTTCTACGCCAACCTGCACGGCAGCATCCTCTTCCTCACCTGCATCAGCTTCCAGCGCTACCTGGGCATCTGCCACCCACTGGCGCCCTGGCACAAACGTGGGGGCCGGCGAGCCGCCTGGCTAGTGTGTGTAGCCGTGTGGCTGGCCGTGACAGCCCAGTGCCTGCCCACAGCCATCTTTGCTGCCACAGGCATCCAGCGTAACCGCACTGTTTGCTATGACCTCAGCCCGCCCAACCTGGCCACCAGCTACATGCCCTATGGCATGGCTCTCACTGTCATTGGCTTCCTGCTGCCCTTTGCTGCCCTGCTGGCCTGCTACTGTCTCCTGGCTCGCCGCCTGTGCCGCCAGGATGGCCCGGCAGGGCCTGTAGCCCAGGAGCGGCGTGGCAAGGCGGCTCGTATGGCAGTGGTGGTGGCCGCTGCCTTTGCCATCAGCTTCCTGCCTTTTCACATCACCAAGACAGCCTACCTGGCGGTGCGCTCGGCACCGGGCGTCTCCTGCCCTGTGCTGGAGGCCTTTGCGGCAGCCTACAAAGGCACGCGGCCATTTGCCAGCGCCAACAGTGTGCTGGACCCCATCCTCTTCTACTTCACCCAGAAGAAGTTCCGCCGGCGGCCACATGAGCTCCTACAGAAACTCACAGCCAAATGGCAGAGGCGGGGTTGCTGAGTCCTCCAGGGCCTGGTCAGCCTTTATGTTTGCCATTGTGGCTGGGGCTCTGGGAGCCCCACCAACCCCAAGCCATGCAGAGAATTAGAGCTCAACTCAGCTGGGCATGGAGTAAAGTCCCTCACAGGACCCAGAAACTCACCAACAACTATTTATTCAGCCCTTCTCTGGCCCAGGCCCTGTGGGCATGGAGATGATGAGGCCTGAGCCTGGCTCTTGAGAGGTCCTGGTCAGCCGTGGAGAGCTGGGGATACCACGTTAAGGTGCTTGCAAAAATACAGTGTGACATGTACTGTCATCACGGGGTATTGGCTGGGCGTGGTGGCTCACACCTGTAATCCAAGCACTTTGGTGGCCAAGGTGGGCAGATCACCTGAGGTCGGGAGTTCAAGGCCAGCCTGACCAACATGGTGAAACCCCGTCTTAAAAAAAAAAAAAGGTGGGGGGGTATGCTCCATGCATTGAGTCACCAATGAAGGGGATGAGGGAAGATGAGAGCGGGAAGTGAGAGCTTCGGGGAAGCGGCATTTGATCTGGGTTTTGAGGGATGACTATGAGCTCTCTGGAGAGGAGGGATATTCCATTTATTTAGCAAGCCTTTACTGACACCTTGTGCTTAGGCCTGGGTTGGTTCTGAGACCCTAGAAGAACCAGTGCTAGCCCTGGTCCATACAGGCTCCCAACTGCTGGAAGTATGGACTGGCACAGCAACATCAGGGTTGTACAGAGGGAAGCATGGCTGGGGGGAGGGGGTACCCAGAGTGTGGCCATGACCCAGTCCAAGGAGTCAGGAAAGACCTCTCTGAGGAGGGAACATCTGAGGTAGGTGTCGAGGGCTGAGTGGGAACTTGGCAAGCAGAAGTGGGGAGCACTTTAATGCAGCCCCGGGATGCTCTATGCATATCCAGTCGTGTCAGCCTCATGCTGGGCTCTGCCCTGGGCAGACAGAGGACTGGAGCGGAGGACACATGGCCTCGATTGTGTGAAAGCTGAGAAAAGGGAGCTGTGCCTCAGTCACCCTCCAGACAAGGGCAAGAGTTGGCCAGATGCTCCAGGCTGTGGGAGGTCAGTGGAGGGAGCAATAGCGTGGAGCTTCTTAGAAGAGGCAGGAGGCTGCCGCTGGGCACAGTGGCTCATGTCTGTAATCCCAGCACTTTGGGAGGCCGAGGCGGGCGGATCACCTGAGGTCAGGAGTTCAAGATGAGCCTGACCAGCATAGAGAAACTCTGTCTCCACTAAACCTACGAAATTAGCTGGTGGCACATGCCTGTAATACCAGCTACTCGGGAGGCTGAGGCAGGAGAATCGCTTGAACCCGGGAGGTGGTGGTTGCAGTGAGCTGAGATTGTGCCATTGCACTCCAGCCTGGGCAACAAAAGCGATACTCCGTCTCAAAAAAAGAAAAAGAAGAAGAGGCAGGGGGCCAAGTGTTCATGTGCTCGTGCCTGTAATCTCAGCACTTTGGGAGGCCAAGGCAGGAGGAACGCTTGAGCCCAGGAGTTTGAGACCAGCCTGGACAATACAGTAAGACCCTGTCTCTGCAAAAAAATGAAAATATTACCCTGGTATGGTGGTGTGTGCCTGTAGTACTAGCTACTCAGGAGGCTGAGGCACTGAGTTCAAGGTTACAGTGAGCTAGGATCATGCCAGTGCATTCCAGCCTGAGCAACAGAGGGAGACCCTGTCTCTAAAAAAATTAAAATAAGCCAGGAGTGGTGGCTCATGCCTGTAATCCCAGTACTTTGGAAGGCCGAGGCGGACGGATCACTTGAGGTCAGAAGTTTGAGACCAGCCTGGCCAATATGGCAAAACCCCTTCTCTACTAAAAAATACAAAAATTAGCTGGGTGTAGTGGCAGGCGCCTGTAGCCCATGCTACTTCTGAGGCTGAAGCACAGGAATCACATGAACCTGGAGGGGGAGGTTGCAGTGAGCTGAGATTGCACCACTGCACTCCAGCCTGGGTGACAGAGCAAGACTTTGTCTCAAAAAGAGAGAGAGAGAGAGAGAGAGAGAGAGAGAGAGAGAGAGAGATTGGCTGTAAAGCAACAGCGAGTTTCAATTAAATGGGGGATGGGCAGACTGGGGTGGGGCCTGGGTGTGTGGAAGGGGGAGGCCAGGAAAAGAGTTGGACAGGGCCAGAGCATTCAATGCAAGGATGAGCCCCAGATCCCTCTCCTTCATCCACCTCTTCAAATGTGGTTCTTTCAACTGTGGGGTATCTTCTGTATCTAGGGTACCTCCACCAGGCCCCAAAGTGAGGGGAAACAGCCATTCAACATTGCTTCATTCTAAACGGAGGAGCCAGCAGCTTGAGAGCCTCAGGGCCACCAGGAGGCTCCTTTGTGGAGGTCCCATGGCTGGAAATCTGCTGACTGGTTTCATGACAGACTGTTCCGCTGTGTTCCACTCCTGCCCTCTCAGGCCCATCGTTCTGACCTGTGGGTACCCAGAAAGTTGCCTTGAGGCCATCTCATAAGGAGGCAGGTCAAACACAGATCTGAGCCTTAAAAAGCCTTGGAAAGGCATCTTTACCAAAGGTCCTTGGAGGAGACAGCAAACTGGAATTGTAGCACGCAAGACCCCACACCCAGCTGGGCGCAGTGGCTCACGCCTGTAATCCCAGCACTTTGGGAGGTCAAGGTGGGTGGATCACAAGGTCAGGAGTTCGAGACCAGCCTGACCAACATGGTGAAACCCTGTCTCTACTAAAAATACAAAAATTAGCTGGGCATGGTGGCTCGGGTCTATAGTTTCAGCTATTTAGGTGGCTGAGGCAGGAGAGCCACTTGAACCAGGGAGGCAGAGGTTTGCAGTGAGCTGAGATCATGCCACTGCACCCCAGCCTGGGGACAGAGAGATACTTCTGCCCTGACACCCTCCACCAAATCCTCTTCCCCTCTGAGAACCGCCCCTCAGCCACTCCTTTGCAGCTCCTCATTCTCTCTGCCATTTTTTCTTATTTCTCCTCCCTGACTCCTCCCCGTCACTTCTCCTCCAGTACTTGTGCCCTCCTCCCAGATCTGATTTTCTCATGTAGAACAATCTAGCCTGCCCTTGGCTGCTGGTGCACCACACAGACCCTGTAAACGAAGAACAAGCCCTGGCTAACAGTCTTTTTAGAAGGCAAAGCATGGAGGGGAAAGACTATAGTTTATGCAATATTTTTCCTTTAGCTCCACCTAGTCCCCAAGGCTACTGGGCAGTAGGGTCATTTAGAGAGGGGCATTGGAGGAGTTAACTCCATGGTAATGTCACAGGTGTGCTTGCAGCTGGCTGAGGAAGTGGGAAAACCAGGCCCAACCCACCCTGGGAAGCCATTCAAAGTTTCCTTGCTAGAGAGGCAGACCATTTGGACAGAAGGAACTTTGACTCATAACCACAGTGAGACCGGCGTGCGTTAGAAGTCAGAGGCTGGTTTCCGTTCCCTGTACGGTGCCCTGCCATGCCAAGCAGGACACATAGGACCCACCTTGCATCTAGCTCCAAGTCTCAGACCAATCTTCTCAGTTGCCTGGGATGGGGGCTAGGGGATAGTGACAGGAAGGGCAGAGGACAGGGCCTCTGCTCATAGCCCACCTGAGCCCCTGTAGAGAGTCCCAGATGACTGTCCCAGCCGACTTCCAAGAGCTGTGACCCTTTGGTTAGTCTTCCAGGAGTGGAAATTGTGACCCACAGGTAAATTCCATTTCAAGCTTCCCTTTGTGAGGCTGACTAGCAAGGAAGGTGCAGACTCCAGAGCCAGATCATCCGGGTATGTGTCCTGGCTCTACCATTTACTAGCTCTGTTATGCTTGGCAAGTTATTTATTTCTATTTATTTATTTATTTTTGAGACAGAGTTTTGCTATTGTTGTCCAGGCTAGAGCACAATGGCATGATCTCAGCTCACTGCAAACCTCTACTTCCTGGATTCCAGTGATTCTCCTGCCTCAGCCTCCCAAGTAGCTGGGATTACAGGCACCTGCCACCACGCCCAGATATTTTTTATATTTTGGTAATGACGGGGTTTCACCATGTTGCTCAGGCTGGTCTCGAACTCCTGACCTCAGGCGATCCTCCTGCCTTGGCCTCCCAAAGTGCTGGGATTACAGGCGTGAGCCACTGTGTCTGGCCTGGGCAAGTTATTTCACCTCTTTGTGCCTCGTTATTATTCCCATAACATTATTATAAATGTCTATCTTTTTAAAGCCACTAGTTTTTTGGGGCCTTTGTTACCCACAGCCAAAACTAATACCTTTATTTGGGTTCCATCCTGAGATGGTGGACCTTAGGGGCAGGCCAGGCAGTGACCTGGACTGAGGAGGGGCAGGGTCTAGGCTGTGGTGGGAGCAAGGAGTCAACAAAATCTAGGGACACCCGGGAAGGCTTCTTAGAAAAGATGCAGATCCTGGGGAACAGTGAGCCCCAAAGTGGCTTGAGCTGGAAGGGGTAGATGGGCATTGTGGGAGAGAGAGTGGGAAAAGGGGAGGAGTTTTGGGAATTCCAACATTAGGGAGCTGAGGAGAAGGAGCCAGAGATGTGGACGGCAGCGGCTGGGGGTCTTTGAATGGTGGAGGCATGAGGGGGAGTGGAGTTTCTGAATGGTGGTGGCATGAGGGGGAGTGGAGTTTCTGAGTGGTGCTGGCGTGAGAAGAGTGGAGTTAGTGAGTGAGGGAGAGGCTTGAGGGAAGGAAGTGGGGGTGGGAGGTAGAGGAGAGAAGAGAGAGGAAGATTCCAAGAAAGGCCAGGCCCAGGGACGGAGCTTCCAGGATAAAGTTGTTGCTGAGAGTTGGCTGGTGGCAGCTGAGGACAGAGACGGCGGTGGGGTGGGGGGTGGGGAGGTAGGAGCAAGGATTGGGAAACTAGAAAGTCGGGAATCAGGGCCCGCCTTGGGGAAATTTCCATTCCAAAAAGGAAAAGCCCAGGAGCATTTGATCTGTCCTAGCAATGGACACAGCTGGCCTCTTCCTTCCTCACTCATTTGTTCAACGAACATTGGCTGGTGTTTCTGAGATGAGCTCTGATCCAGACCCTAGTATGGGGAAAGAATCCAAACAGTTTGGGGTGCAGATGAGGAAACAGTTCATCCAGTAAACAATACTTACTAAGCACCTCCTATGTGCCAAGCACCATGCTGGGCCCTCATGGAGGAGACAGGTAATAATGAAACACATGCATACCTGGATCATTACTGCTGGGGAGGAGAGCTCAGATCGTAAAGAGGACCCAGGCAAGGAAGGTGTCACTAGGAAGATGATGAGCTCCTGGAATGGTCCATGGCCAAGAAATGCTAAATACCAGAGGGGCCCTGACCTAGCTGAGGGGCAGAAAAGATTTCTTAGTGAGGCCTGGAGCCTCAGAAGGCCTCAGAAGGCATTAGCTCAGTGCAGAAGGGCTGCAGCAGAGTCTGTGACTTTGACCAAGCACCTTCACTCCTCTGAGCCTCTGTTTCCTTACCTGTAAAATACTAGAGCTTCCTAAGCCACCAGGGGTATCAAGGGTTAGAAAAGTTAAAGCAGAAATTTCATAAAGTACTAAACATACTATAAACCAATAAAAAAATGGGCAAGAGGCACAAATAGGCACTTCATATAAAAGGAAACAAAGATGATTAGAAAACATAGAAGAGAAATTAGATCCTAGCTTGACAATGCCTCCTAATGTTGAATCAGTTGCCAGCCCTGTGCCTAAGCATTTCTGTCCATGTGTACCTGGAGTCATGCACAATGCTCAGCAAACACCTGTAAACGCCCAAATGTGCATCAGCAGAACAGTGGATCAATACGCTGTGATATATTCACACATTGAAATAGTCCAAATGGCCAGAATGGACTATATGGGCATGCGACAATATGGGTAAATCTTAGCAGTATGACATTAAGAAAAAAGAAGTAATAACAAATTATGTACAGCAAAATGCCACCCCCCTTTTTTTGAAACAGTCTTGCTCTGTTGCCCAGGCTGGAGTGCAGTGGTGCAGTCTTGGCTTACTGCAACCTCCACCTCCTGGGTTCAAGCAATTCTCCTGTCTCGGCCTCCCAAGAAGCTGGGATTACAGACATGCACCACTACACCCAGCTAATTTTTGTATTTTTAGTAGAGACAGGGTTTCACCATGTTGGCCAGGCTCGTCTTGAACTCCTGGCCTCAAGCAATCCACCTGCCTCAGCCTCCCAAAGTGTTGGGATTACAGGCGTGAGCCACCATGTCCAGCAGGATGCTCTTTTAAAAAGTTAAGAACAACTAAAATGAAAATATATAGTTTGAAGGAATATGTAGATGCAATAGAACCATATAAAAAGGAAAGCAAGAGAATGCTGAACACAAGATTTGAGATGATTTTCTGTGTGGTGGGACAGCAGGAGGATGGGGGAAGAAGAACTATATAATAAGAAGTGAATTATTATAAAGGTCCTACTTGTATTGTTTTGCTTCTTGGAGAAAGCCAATTAAATAACTGATAAGATTATATCAGGAACAAAATATAAAAAATCAAATCCTATGTGCTTAAGGTCTAATTATATAGGAAAAAGGGCAATCTCAGATAGTTTCTCTTTAGCTTTGGAATGGAGTCAGAGGAGTCAGATTTCCCCCTAAGACAGTTCCTTCATGGAGCTCATTGCTTCTTGGGGTCCCCACACTCATCATTTATCTCCCTCTTAAGTACAGTTACTCCTTGACTTACAATGTGGTTACATCCCAATAAACCCATTGAAAATATCATGTCAAAAAGGCATTTAATACACCTAGCCTACATCAGAGCTTAGCCTAACCCACCTTAAACAGGCTCAGAATGTGTCCATAGCCTAGAGTTGGGCAAAAATCATCTAACACAAAGCCTATTTTATAATAAAATGCTGAGTATCTCATGTAATTCATTGAATACTGAAAGTGAAAAACAGAACGGTTGTATGTGTGTTTAAAGTATAGTTTCTAGTGGATGTACATACCTTTTGCATCATCATAAAGTCAAAAAATCATTAAGTTGAAACCTCATGAGCTGGGGACCATCTGTACCTGAAGCCTCATTGGCCATGAGGTGTAACCTTCAAAACCTTCCCATCTTGATTCTCCAAGGGATTCCATGGTCCTCGCCTCACTAGATCACCATGACTCACTGGGTAGATGGGCTATTGTTTTCATTACCCTTTCATAGATGAGGAGCTTGGGGTCCAGAGAAAAGGGAGTGAACGGTGGAAACTGAGCTTCAAAACCCCAGCAGAGTGTTTCTCCGGTGCCCAGTGCTCCCAGCTTCCTACCAGATAAGTCTTCTTGGAGCTAAAAATTGCCGTACATAATTACCAAGCACCATAAAGATTCCAGAACCCCTCTGTTCATGGAAGATAACTTTGTCTTATCCTGGATCATAAGGAGCTGGGTGGGGGTGGAGGATTCATGAAACACCGGAAGCAACCAAGCCATTCTCAGATTAGGTGAGCTTCCCTTTGGACAGAGACTCAGTCTAGATCCTTCCCTCCACACCAAGAGGATTCCTGAGCCAAAGGCCCCAGCCAGTTCACCTCAAGGCCAAGCCACAGGACTCTGGGACCCCGTTACCTGAACCTCCACTCCTCTCTATCCATTTGCCCATCTGTGATATGGGATAAAGGATTCTCTCCCAGAAGTAACAGAGAGGTGGAAAAGTACAAATTTCAGTTGGTAGGAGTCATTATTATGGGGACAGAGAGTGACTCCTGGAATGAGAGTCCTGTCCCCCATCCCTCCACAACTCACCCCTCCCCAACTCACCCCACAACACATACCAAAACATGCCCCAAAGAGTAGAAAGAAAATACTAAAGGAGGTGAGAGTCTGACATCAAATGCCAGAGTCAGAGAGGGCACCCTTGGGGAAACATGACCCACTCCTCACTTTTCAGACACAGGCAAGTGCCGGGATTTACTCAAGGTCACAGAGTAAGGCAGAGCTGACAGGCACAGGCCGGCAGGGCTCTCTTTTATCAGTTTCCTAGAGTAGACGGAGAGATTGACTCCTTGGCCCCCTGGAGGCAGAGCTGAGATGAGGTTGAGGTGGGGAACTCCCTGGATGCTAATCTCAACTCAGAGAGGAATGGTTTTTCTCACTACAGAGATATTTCACAACCCAAGAGGCTGCCCAGAGGGTGGAGAGTGGCCTCCTCATTCTGGGGATATATGAGTAGCAAGCAGGTTCTGGGTGTCTCGGCTGAGTCCTCCCTCTCTCATTCAGTAGTCCGGCAATCCTTGGGTGTCTACCGGCCTTTTCTACCCTCCTGCCTGCCCCTCTCCTCTGAACCCCACCTCTCAGCCTAGTTGGCCCAGCTACAGTCTCCTTGGCTGGACGGGGTGGCAGTAGGATTGGCTGGGTAATGCACAGACTGCTGACTTAACCATGTGTCCCTGAGGCCTTGCTACTGGGGATTGGAGGGGCCAGGGCAGTTTGACCAGGACTGAAGAAGGCTGGGCAGGGCTGGAGGGGCATGGGTCAGACCAGGTTATCCTCTGTTCCTGGGGAGAGTGAGCTCAGGCCGAAGGAGGAGAAGAAGGTGACTGGGGGCTCAAAGGAGTGAGAACCTCCTATAGAGGAGCATGGTGTTTGAAGCCCCTAAAATCTGAATTTTAGCAGGAGCTGCTATTTCCTGACTTGCATAGTGGTCAAAGTTACTTCTCCTTCATGGCCCACAGGGAAGGGGTAATAATATCTATTCCCGGCCGGGCGCGGTGGCTCACGCCTGTAATCCCAGCACTTTGGGAGGCCGAGGCGGGTGGATCACGAGATCAAGAGATCGAGACCATCCTGGTCAACATGGTGAAACCCCGTCTCTACTAAAAAATACAAAAAATTAGCTAGGCATGGTGGCTCGTGCCTGTAATCCAGGCTACTCAGGAGGCTGAGGCAGGAGAATTGCCTGAACCCAGGAGGCGGAGGTTGCCGAGAGGTGAGCCGAGATCGCGCCATTGCACTCCAGCCTGGGAAACGAGAGCGAAACTCCGCCGCAAAAAAAAAAAAAAAATAAAATAAAATAAAATCTATTTCCAAGGGTGGTTTGTGGATTAAAAAAAATAAGTGAAATAACATTGCCCACACATCATAGGTACACCACACATTTTCATTTGTTCCTTCATTCATATATAGGGTCATGCATTTGAGTTGTGGAGTTAGGATGAATGGGATCTAGAGGTAGGTTGGGGTGGGGAAAGGGATGATGCCCCAATACCCAGAACATTGCGAGACGCGCCATAAGGGGGCAGGAGCGGGAGGGGAGCTCAAGCGAGGGATCAGCGTGAAGCCGGAGAAACAACCTACACTTTCCCTGCCAGGAAGGTAGAGCAGCTGCAGGTAAGAGCATAGGTTTGGCAGTGGGAAGTCAAGGGCGTTCCCGTCAAAGCTCCTTTTGTGTGTAAGGCCTAAAGAGGAGCAGTGCGCTTTGCGAAGGTCTGAAAAAGACTAAGGGGATTAGGTAACGGCTGAAACGAAGTTTTCCTAACTCCCCGCTTTTTTGAGGATGGGGTGCTGCTTTATCTGTCCAGGACTCCGTGCGTTGGGAAAATCAGGCCGCGAGGGGGCGCAAGAGCCGCGTACTCAGGAGCCCGGAGGAAAGGGGCTCCGGGATCCAGGCGGAAAGTCCAGAAGCGCAGCCAGGCGGCGGGGGCAGGTGGGAGGCGTGGCAGCTGGAAGAGTAGGGGTGGGGGCGCGGTCATGAAGGGTGGGACTTTGGGAGCGGCGTTGGGCGGGTTGGAGGCTGATCGGAGCTGGACTGGCGGCATGGAGGAGGGACGGGCGGGACGTTTGGGAGCCAGATGGGGGGGCAAGGGCGTGGCTTCAAGCGAATTCGTCGCAGAGGGCGCGCGGGGAGGGGGCGGGGAGCGACCGGCCCTCTAGTCCGCCCACCGCTCCGAGTCTCCGGCTGTAGCCGAGTCCCACCCCTTTCCTGGCCCAGAGAGTGTGCGTCTGCGTGCACCTGAGTGTCAGTGTGTACGAAAGTTTGTGGGTCCGACGTTGCCATGTTGGAGCCCCTCGGGCAGGAGGTGTTTCCGCGCGGAAGCGGCTGGCCCGCGGTGGGCACGGCGCCCTGGCTACGAGTCTGCGGAGCTGAGCACGCTCAGCGGATGCGTATATCTCAGCGAGTCCCCGGGGCAGCTCGGCCCGCTGGGCTCCGGAGGGTCGCCTCAGCTTGCAAGTCCTCCAGCAGGCTTTTTCTTCTTCGGCTCCTCCCCGATTCCCTCCCACCAGCGGGTTCCCAGGCTCGCGCACACCCGGAGCCCACCCCCTCTTTTGGGCGCGAGGCCCCGCCCCCCGCCCCCTTTCCTCTGCCGCAAAGTTTATTTGCAACAAAAGGGTGCCAGGAGTGCGCAGCCAAGTGGGAGGGAGCGGGAGCCGGAGCGGGAGAGCGAGGCCGCTAGGCGGGCGGGCGCAGAGTCGAGGAACCGAGCGCTGGGATCCCGCCCAGGCGGAGCCGCGGTGTCCCTGGTCGCTGCGGCCGCGGCGGAGGCTGGGCCTGGGGGTCGGAGCTGAGGCGGGAGGGGCCGCCGGGGATGGAGACGTTGCGGCTGGTGGCCACAGAAACTTGAGCCGCGGCAGGGAAACCTCTGCTCGAGTCTCTGCGCCCTCCTCCCACACCCCCGCGCGCTGCTTTGGGCGCGGGCCGCTGCGCTCCTAAGGAGCGGGGGCGCAGGGGGGGGTTGGCCGCGGCTCCCCGAGGCCAGCCCCCCCGGAGTGAGTGCCGCCACCATGGCGGACGGGGCACCCCGGCCCCAGCTTTACCGCAGCGTCTCGTTCAAGCTGCTGGAGCGCTGGAGCGGCGGCCCCGGGCCAAGGGAGAAGGACACGGACACCCCCGGCTTGCGGCGCCGCGCCTCGTGCCGGCCGACCACGGCTGTGCCGGACCAGCCCTCTCGGCGCGTGTCCAAGCTGGCGTCGGGGCCCCCGGCAGCCCCCGCGCAGCCGCGCCCGCTCCGCAGCCTCTCGCCGTCGGTGCGCCAGCTCTCCCGGCGCTTTGACGCGCCGCGTCTGGACGACGGCTCTGCTGGGGCCCGGGACGGGGGCGTCTTCCCCGGGGCCACGGAAGAAGCGGTCGAGGGCGCCGCTCGAGGGGCCTGGCCCAGCGTCACCGAGATGCGCAAGCTCTTCGGCGGTCCTGGTTCCAGGAGGCCCAGCGCCGACTCTGAGGCCTCTGGAACGCCCAGCCCCGACGGTGCCGCGTGGGAGCCTCTGTCTCGGGAGTCGCGACAGCCACCGACGCCACCTCCACGGACATGTTTCCCCTTGGCGGGTCTGCGTTCGGCGCGGCCACTGCCCGGGCCCGGGACCGAAGGGAGGCTACGCCGGCAGCAGCAGCAACAGGAGCGGGCGCAGCGTCCAGCGGATGGTTTACATTCTTGGCATATCTTCTCCCAACCGCAGGCCGGGGCCCGGGCCTCCTGCTCCTCCTCCTCCTCCATCGCCTCCTCCTATCCTGTCAGCCGCAGCCGCGCTGCCAGCTCCAGCGAGGAGGAAGAGGAGGGCCCGCCGCAGCCGCCTGGGGCCCAGAGTCCGGCCTACCACGGCGGCCACTCCTCGGGCAGTGACGACGACCGAGACGGTGAGGGCAGCCACCGCTGGGGAGGGAGGCCGGGGCTCAGGCCTGGAAGCTCCCTATTGGATCAGGACTGCAGGCCTGACAGTGATGGGTTAAATCTGAGCAGCATGGACTCAACAGGGGGAGCCGGGAGCCCCCAGCCCCCTACATCTACAAGAGTCCCTAGGGAAGAAGGACTCCGGGAGTGGGGTAGTGGCTCTCCGCCCTACGTCCCAAGTCTCCAGGAGGGACTTCGGCCTACGTCCGACTCTGTGGGAGGAGCTTTCCGCGTGGCCAAGGTGAGCTTTCCCTCATACCTGGTCAGCCCCGCAGGCTCCCGCGGCAGCAGCCGTTATTCCAGCACGGAGACCCTCAAGGATGATGATCTCTGGTCTAGCAGGGGTTCCGGGGGCTGGAGCGTGTGCCGCTCCCCTAGCTTTGGAGCTGGGGAAGGGCTTCTGCGGCCTCAGGCTCGAACTCGTGCCAAGGGACTTGGGGGCACCACTAGGGCATTGAGGGATGGAGGATTTGAGCCGGAAAAGAATCGTCAGCGGAAGTCCCTGTCAAATCCAGATATTGCCTCAGAGACCCTGACGCTTCTCAGTTTCTTGCGCTCAGATCTTTCAGAGCTGAGGGTCCGAAAACCTGGTGGGAGCCCCGGGGACCATGAAAGCAGCCCCCTAGATGGCAGAGACTCAGCATCCGCAGGTGGCCCCGTGGAGCAACTTGGACCCATACCGGTCCCAGCCCCAGCATCACCTGGCACGCGCCCCACACTCAAGGACTTGACAGCCACCCTGCGGAGAGCAAAGTCATTCACCTGCTCCGAGAAGCCCATGGCCCGCCGCCTGCCCCGTGCCAGTGCCCTGAAGCCCAGCTCCTCCGAGCTCCTTCTGGCAGGCTCTGGTGCTGAGGAGGATCCACTGCCCCTCATCATCCAAGACCAGTATGTGCAGGAGGCCCGCCAGGTTTTTGAGAAGATCCGGCGCATGGGTACCCAGCAGGATGATGGAAGCGATGTCCCCCCTAGAAGCCCTGATTGGTCAGGGGACGTCACCCGAGGACAGCGGTCCCAGGAGGAGCTCTCGGGCCCTGAGTCCAGTCTGACGGATGAGGGCATTGGGGCGGACCCTGAGCCTCTTGTTGCAGCCTTTTGCGGCCTGGGTACCACAGGGATGTGGCGACCCCTTTCCTCATCCTCGGCCCAGACGAACCACCATGGCCCTGGAACTGAGGACAGTCTGGGTGGGTGGGCCCTGGTGTCCCCTGAGACCCCTCCCACACCAGGTGCCCTCCGCCGCCGACGGAAAGTCCCACCTTCAGGTTCTGGTGGGAGTGAATTGAGCAATGGGGAGGCAGGTGAGGCCTACAGGTCCCTGAGTGACCCAATTCCTCAGCGCCACCGGGCTGCCACCTCTGAGGAGCCCACTGGGTTCTCTGTGGACAGCAACCTCCTGGGCTCACTGAGCCCCAAGACAGGGCTCCCTGCAACCTCAGCCATTGATGATGGCTTGACCAGCGGTCACAGTGACTGGTCTGTGGGCAGTGAAGAGAGCAAGGGCTATCAGGAGGTTATTCAGAGCATAGTTCAGGGGCCTGGCACCCTGGGGCATGTGGTGGACGACAGGGTTGCTGGCAAAGCCCCCAAGAAGAAATCCCTGAGTGACCCTAGCCGCCGTGGGGAGCTGGCTGGGCCTGGATTTGAGGGCCCTGGAGGGGAGCCCATCCGAGAAGTTGAGCCAGTGCTGCCTCCATCCAGCAGTGAGCCCATCCTTGTGGAGCAGCGGGCAGAGCCAGAACAGCCGGGTGCTGCCAGGAGCCGGGCACAGTCTGAGAGGGCTCTACCCGAGGTTCTGCCTCCCCCCACCGCTGCCCACCGAAACTTTCACTTTGACCCCAAGCTGGCTGACATTCTGTCCCCAAGGCTAATCCGCCGAGGCTCCAAGAAGCGCCCAGCTCGAAGTAGTCACCAGGAGCTTCGGAGAGATGAGGGCAGTCAGGACCAGACTGGTGGCCTGTCTCAGGCCCGGCCTTCCTCCAAACACGTTCGCCATGCCAGTGTGCCCGCCACCTTCATGCCTATTGTGGTGCCTGAGACACCAACTTCTGTCGCCCCCTCTGTGGCTGTGCCAGAGCCCATGGGCTTCCCTGCCCGAGCCCATCCCACGTTGCAGGCACCATCGCTCGAGGACGTCACCAAGCAGTACATGCTGAACCTGCACTCGGGCGAGGTCCCTGCCCCAGTGCCAGTGGACATGCCCTGCTTGCCTCTGGCTGTACCCCCCTCTGCTGAGGCCAAGGCCCCTGAGGCAGCTCGGCCTCCAGATGAGCCTGCCCCTGCCAGCAAGTGCTGCAGCAAGCCACAGGTGGTGAGTCCTTTGTGGGGAACCTTCAGGATGGGGCCAAAGGAGGGCTGTGGACGCCGACTTCACTGGGAGTCTTTTGCATTGTACTCACTGGGTAGGTGCCCAGGTGCTTTTCTGGTCCTGAAACTGCCCATGCAGTTTTAAGAGTGTTAATGACACAGGGTCCTGTCTACTCCAGCCCTGTAGAAGTGTCAGTTTTCTGCTGGTGCTAATGGCAGAGGTGCTCCTCTGCTCCAGGAGTTCTGGGTGGTAATTACAAAGGATTCTTATCTTGTCCTTTGGATGTTTCTCAGGGACTGGTTTTGGAGATCCGTGTGTGGGTGCTTGTTGGAGGAATGAGTGTGATGGTATCCAGCACAGGCTCAGTCCTTTCTCTGAGGCTTGCTGCTCTGTTGGCCAGACCTTTGATAGGAAATTTGGCTCAGGGGCTACGGTGCACATGGGTTTGCTCTTCCTCGTGTGGCTTTCCTATGACAGGTCATAACATAGATGTGTTCCTGGACCTGGGAGAATTGCGGAGGTACAAGGCTTTACTTTACGGAGTAGCAGAGGGGGCTCGGGGTTCTTACCGCAGTTCTGTTCTGGCTGTGTGACATTGGCCTTTCTCTGTGACTTAACCTCCCCATCTGTAAAATCAGAGGAGGTGGGTGGACAAGTGGTGCCATGTTTCCATTCAGCTGGCACTGTGCAGGTTTGGGGGAGCCTATGGGTTTCAGCTGGGGACTCTTGGGGCCTGACTTCTGCCAGAATCTCTTCAGATAAAAGCTTCTAGATGGGGGGCTTCTAGGGGAGGATAGAGGTGGGGTCGGGGGGTTGCAGAGGCTGAGCAGCTAGGGCCCTTTGGAGAGGTCAGGGGTGGTTCTGGGCCCCATATTCAGTGCCACCTGTATGGGTCCAGGGCGGGGAGGCAGTCCTTGTTTCCCCATCCTGTCTCCTTGCATCTTTTCCCCACTCTACCCCCTCCCTGGTGACTCTGAGATGTACCCCTTTTCTGCCAGACCCCCGGCCCTCGGGGCTCACTCTCCCTGAGACCCTTCCTTCTACTTTCTGGCTTCAGCTATCCCTGGAGTTTAGGCTGTGGATTCAGATGGGATCCAGATGGCATATGCCCTGGCATCTGGGCTGGGAGCTAGATTCCAGGCTCTGGATTCTGGGCTAAGCTCAGGGATGGCCAGCAGTTATTTCATCTGTGGCCTGTACTCCCACTGCGCTCCCTGACTGTGAGAAGCCTGGAAGC